AGTTCTTGCACTGTTTTTTGTTTCTAAATGTGTTCCATGTGACTGGCTCTTTTTCACACAGGCTTGAATGATCCTTGAAATGTCTGACTTCCCCACACCAACAATTGCTTCAATATCTCTAACAATCACTGAAGTGTGCTCTTTAAGAACTACACCTTCTGCAGGTGTTCTTGGAGTAATACCCATTCTTTTAAACTACAGAATTACAAACATAACAAGAGAGCCATATTTTTATGGCATAAAATTAAAATCAAATACTCATCTGACAGAGAACTAAAGGTGGAGAACCAGCTCAATTCATTTTCAACTGATCTGATACTGTGAGTTAGCCTAGTATCAGCAGAAGTATACACTCATGACCACTAATGTCACAAAGTGAAATCATAACATAATCACTGTTTATCCCAAGTAATTCCCACATGACTGTATTTGTTAATTTCACTATAATAACACAGAGGTTTCCTATCTTCCCTGTGTATGTCTGCAGAATAGGTAAGGAGGTACTAAGAGAGCACCTAGCAGTCCCTAAAAAGTTCTAGTCACAAAGCTCAGATGAACTGAATTTCTTACTACTAAAAAAACTAGTAAATGGGATGATGGGTCACTGTGAATAGTTTTTGAAAGATCATAGTAAAAAAAAAATAGGAGGTACCACTGGAACAAATAGGGTAAATTCGTCCAAAAAGGAAAAAGTCAGTAAACTATAGGCAAGTGGCCCTGATTTTGATTCCTAGAAAAATCTAGACTACATTATTAAAATGAAGGCAAATGAATACCCAGGAAGGGAAGTAATCACAAAAAGCCAACATGGTATTCATCAAGAACAGTTCATATCAGACTAACATTATTCCCCCTTCCTCCCCCTTTTTCTAGACAGTTTTCAGACTGGCAGATGAGAAAACTATCATAGGAAACAGCTTACCTAAATTTGAGGAAAGCAAATGACAGTCTCACAGAAGATACAAATGTAGGTAAGAGACCTTAAATTAGATGGATTCAGAAGAGGCTACACGGGTGACATCTAAGAGGAGTTATTATCAGTTTATTGTCAGATTAAAGACTTTCCCATAGGAAGGTCTTGCAGAACTATATTTTACTCTTTGCTTTTAAACACTTTTTTAGTATGTTTACCAAACTGACAAATGATAAACATAGGAAGATAGCTAATATGTTGGATGAAAGAATTAGGATCCAAAAAAGAATCAGACTTTATTTGTTGGGCCTACATAGCCGAACTAGGAACAACAGGTACAAATAAGAGGTAGGCAAAGTTAAGCTCCGTGCATGGAAATGTTTAACAGTAAGAGCTATCCAAAAGTGGAATGGGCTACCTCAGAAGGCAGTGGCTTCCTCCCACTTACAGCTCTTCTCTGACTGCTGAGGGGATTCTTATTATCCAGATCCTGTCCAACACTGAAATTCTATAATTTTGTAAAGAGGCACTAACTATACATCTCTGGCTATGCAATAAGAGCAGAGTTATACTTTCAATTAAAAATCAATAGTTCTAAGTTAAATATTAATAAATGTCTCAATAAAATGATCCAAATCATAAGTGAACACTTTTAAAAACAATGTAACAACATTTTGACAAAAGAAAAGATTTATAAGTAAATCAAAAGTAACATAGTATAACGTTTTATTACTTAATGAACTCTTTGGAAAGTCTGACCTGTTCCCTTTCACCACTGTTGCTGTCATCATCCCATGGACTTCATCTGATGATGATGATGAGGATCTCTGACTTGCCCCTTAGATATATTATTACAATTTCCAGAGGTTAACATTTATTCCAGTGTCTTTCATTTTTAAATGAACTTTCATGGTAAACGAAGATCCCTAACTTATAATTTCCCCCTTCGGTCTCTATGATTATCTTTCACATGGATAAAAGTGATATGGACAACACTTGAGTTCTCTAGTATAATGGTCATTTCTAACAATAAGTTACACATTTTGTTCATGATTTCCACAAATCTCACCCTACAGTTTCTTCAAAATTCTCTGCTGGATGCTACTTTGTTCCAGTTATTTATAGCTAGTTTGTTCAATCTATTTCTACTTGAGAAGATAATATGGGAATTAGAGCTTCTTTGTTTTCCTCATTAAGGACAAAAGCAAAAAGTTTTAAGTTCTCTAGAATTCTTTTTATCCCTGAATGTATCTTTTAAAAGTATCACAGGATCAAATGGTGTCACTGATTTTGTAACTGGCTCCCTCTATTCTTATAAATGGCTTTAGAGCCATGCTCTAAAGTGCTCCTCCAGTTCTTTTTGGTTTGCCTAACCTGTATTTTGACAAGAACTATCACAAGTCCTCCTCATTTGAACAATTCATTTCATTTCTTCTCTTTTATCATCTGGGGGAGGAGGCAACTTCCAAATAGACTTCTGTCATTAAGGGGCAAGAGAAGGGGGTGACAACTCCTGAAACAAGGGTACTGGAAAGAGTAAAGGGTCTTCAGCAGGAGGATAAGAATAACTCCTATAAAAGAGAGGTAAGGGACATTAGCAAAGTTGAGGGAATAAAGAGGCAGGGCAATCCAAAACAAAAGGAGATGCAGCATGGCTGCAGAAAGTAGTACCTGACTTGAAATTTAAGAGACCTGGGTTTGAATCTCATCTCCAGTGTTCACTGGCTGCATGATTATGCATAGCTTAACCTCCTGTCACTGGCGTTTCTTCAACTACAAAATAGGAACAGATTTGCACAACCTAACTCACAGGGTGCTGGAAGGAAAGCACCCTGCAAACTTTAAAGCATCATATAACTATACTGTTGATAAAGTGAATTAACCAACAATCAGCTTAGGCTGGAGGATAAGAACTTACATGAGAATTGCTCTCTGGCTTGGTGGTAATGACTCTCTATTTCTATGAGGAAAAGGGGTTAGGGAAGTAGCAAGATAAGACAGAAGCTACATTTTAAAAGGAGGAAGAAAAAAATTGTTCTGGTATTCTAACTCTAGCTTTTCTAGGATGTCTTTTTTTTTTCCTGTAAAAACATATCCAAAATGTGTCAGTGAAAAACAGGGTCTACTATTCAGAATTATGTTTCATAGATAATACTATTATACATCCTGATGATGTGAGAACCACAATGCGTTTTCAAGAACTCTCTTTTTCAATTTTCTTTTTTGTTGTGGACAACAGAAATATTTCATTGTACAAAGAACAAGAGAAAGAATTATATGAGAAAACGAACTATTTACATACAATTTATATTGTAAAATGTGTATAATTTAACAAAGTAACAAAATTTCTCTATTTGTGTTCCTTTTGAACTATTATTTTTCTTTTGTGCATTTAAAAAAAGTCTTACTGATACTCTTTTAAAAATGTTTAGCACTGTACACCAAGCCTCCTCTTCCCAATAATGAAGCAAGACAAATCAATGAATTGGTCACGTTTCAGAGCACATGTCTGATTCTGCAACTCTAATTCATCACCTCTGTCAAGAGTTGGGAGGCATGTTTCATTATTAGTCTTTTGAAGTCATGATTGGTTATTGTTAAATAGATATTTTTCTTTTTATAATTTGTGTAAGTGATAACCTGGTTTAATATAAAAGAAAATGCAATTTACTAATTTAATTACAAATACAAACCCTTTTTTCTCCCAAGGCATATGAATTAAGGCAATTAAAAACCTGTATATATGATACAATAACTGGATCAAAAAAGAAAGAAAAGAGAGTAACACAGATTGTAAAGATATTTGTATTTTATCCTCAAATAACAGTACTAACAATACAGTTAAAACTTAACAATTTATTAAAATTGCTTCTAAATTTTACCATCTTACTCATAACACCCTAATGCCTACGCTGTAGAGACAACTGGTCAAGCAATATTCACTAAATACCCCCTTAGCAATGCCTGGTTCTATTCAGACAGTCATCTAGAAAGTAAAAGTCTATCTGGAACACATGGTAAGGAGAAAAGATACTTAGCTACAGCAACTACAGTAATCATCCACAACTGTTTTTGTTGTAACTGGGATATAGTAATGATATCTTTTTTTAAATTGATACTCAATTTTAATTAGTTGTTTCTTTCTTTTTTTTTTTAAAGGCAATTGGGGTTAAGTGACTTGTCCAGGGTCACACAGCTAGTAAGTGTGAAGTGTTTGGTCTGAGGCCAGATTTGAACTCCTGACTTCACAGGCAGTTGCTCTATCCACTGTGCCACCTAGCTGCCCCTATTAATGATATCTTTAAAAATTTTAAATAACAATCTTTTAAGTTGTTATTTGATTTCCTTTTTAATATATAATTTTATCACCAGATATTATCAGCCATTCCATAAACTGATATGTTACTTAATAAGCTATTTCAGGTAAAACATGGAAATTCATAATTATAATCTCATAAACTAAATTAATATGTACTATTAAACCCTCTAACTGGCAACAGCTGTGAGGAAGACAATTTTGAATAAGTCAGAATTACAAAATATTTTTAAAGAATAGAACGTGTAATTGTAGAAAGAGAACTGATACCAGCCAGAACTCCTGGATTCTAATCCAGAATATAGTCATGAATAAGTCAAATAATCTAACTGGGCCTCAGTTTTCCCATCTATATAATAAATGAAGTGGACTATAAGGTCCTTTCCATCTCTTCTAGTACTGTAAAGACAGAGTAATACTGTGGCAACTAATATGGAGCTGTGCAAAAGAGAAGTGTTATTTTAATCTAGCTAAAGTTGTATTGAAGTTTGAAAAAATATTAAATATTATTTGTATAAGTAACATTTTTAGCATGAAATTGGATTCTCTTAAAATACCTGAACCTTGTAAGTTATCTTAAGTAATATCCTGGCAAACTTGTGCAAATTATAGCACATTCTAAATGAGCAAATTATGAATTAATGAGGTTTTATCATAAGAATGCATATGAAAAAAGACTGAAAATGCCTCCTCTTTTGAAATTCCCCATTAATGCACATATAGATAGCTCTTTATTAAAAAGGGAACCCCGAAATAAATGCAAATTCTTACTTTGTTGCCCGTATAAACTTGCCCCAAACTGAGACAGCTGACCTGATGTTGATGGTGATGCCAGCATCTAGAAACAAATTAATTATATTAGAGCATAAAGAGCTACACACAGCACTCAATGAACTTAGACTTTAGTAATGTTACACATGTTTTATATGCTACTATAACTGTAATTCATCCTTATAGCTCTCAAAGTGCTCATAAGATATGAAGAACATAAAATGTAAGCATAAAATATAAACAATTTAAAAAATCTATTAAATTGGACATTTCTTAGGTACATAATAAGTAGGCAAATTCAAACTGTAAAAATGAAATTAGTTTTCTGTGAGTATGGAATTTTAAAAGTTTTACTAAACTATTACATTATATACTGAATATACATTTTTAAACATTTCCTCATGAAGCTATAAATCCAATTAAAAAATTCTTTCAAAAATATAGAAGTGTAGCATCCATATTATATTAAAAGAGATTATAAGTCCACTGACAATAGAAACTGATAATTGGCTCAGGATATAATCAATGAAAAAGCTAGACTGTTTTATATACTTCTTAGTGCAGTTAATTATTTAGTAATTATTACTTTTTTATAATTGATTATACATATATTTCAAATAAGACTTTCAAACTAGTTACAGTATTCATATTAAGAGGAAAGTGGTCAAAATATTAAGAATGAATAATTACATGTATGGAAATTTGGGTTCTTTTAGGGCTTATTTCTAAAAATCCCAGACCCAAACCATCAAAAAAAAGAGGCAAATACTTTCAATCTACTCATTGCTTTTCAAGAGACATGCTTCTAAGATCAATCTAAATCAATCAATTTAACATGTATGAGAATTTTATCCCAAAGTCAAAATTTTGTGAAAAGACTGAAAAAAGAATCCATGATTTAACTAAGAGATATTAAAAAATTATTTGAAATCTAATGATTCTAGAATTTTAAAATACCAAGTCCAAATTTCAAAGAACTATCAAAAAAGTAACTGAATAGCTGATTGCTGCAAACACTTCACACTTGCATTTTTCGATTCAATTCAACTCAATTCAACAAACTATATAAAGTTATACTATTAAGTTTATTCTTTGTGCAAACTACAGTATGCTAAAAGCTGGTTCTATGCTGGATACTACATTAAGTTAGATAACTATGAAGCATTAATGTGGGGCAGGGTGATAGTGTTAAGGGCAAACACTGAAATGATTATAAAATGAATGAAAAAGCCAGCACAAGAGCAAGAGCCACACCCTTTAATAAATACAGGTAAAGAAGAATACACAGAGTGCACTGTGTGCTCTTGCTGTTCTTTGAGGTGAACAAATTATAATTATTAGACAGAAGGACCACTTTGTGGATTTCATTCAATAACAAAAGGACTCTGGGTACAAGTGTGATTTTAAGAGGTCTCAGAAAAAAGGAAAAACAATATTTGTTATGTTTAAAAACAGATATTCCATGATAATGATAAGGTCAATGGTAATTACAAAGTTCCTTGATTGGATGTTTTATGGAAGGAAGAATGTTCTATCCAACTGCAATTTTGAGAATGTACTTTTCTAATGTGACATAATGAAATTACAATTAGACATTTCTTCCTATTCAATCAAGGTCCTCCACAATTTGACTTTATCCTGTCTTTCCAGTCTTACCTTTCACTATTCTCCTACAAAAGCCACTATTCACCAGCTAAACTGGACTACTCATTTACAGTATTTAGGTTTTCCTTTTTCTCCCCCACTCAGGACATTTGTTCCACCTCAAATGCCCTACAATCAATTTGCAATTCTAAAATGCCACCCTTTCTAAAAACTCATATCCCAGATGAACACAGAAAAAATTTGGTCTTCCTTTTCTAACTTGCTCTGTTTCCAACCTGGGTTTACTCCTAGTGGCCTAGTGGCCCCCCACTGAAAGGTCTCACCATATTCAATAAGCTTTAGCTCCGATGCAGCTGAGAACATCAGGGCTCACCCTTTCAGTTTCTGCCTCTCTAATAGCAAGAATCACAGGCAAGCACCCCCATTTTAAAGAAGCATCTTTAAAATTTACTTTTGCATAAAATCATACGTCATGGTTACCTATCTAATGCACATTTCATTCTGTTTGCATATCAAATGTATAAATGTTTTTAATGCCTGAGAAATTATAGATGAGGTTACTCAAAAGAACAAAGTTGTTTGCAAAGAAATATGAGATTTCAAAAATTGTATGTTAATGCTAAAGGATGAAATCTACAAACTTGAGGTGACCTGCAATCTACACACTGTCCATCTTTCCTTCTCATTTCCCTTAGGAATGGAATGCTCAGAGCTAGCATTGACAAACTCCACTTAATATTTTCTAACAGTTGCACAGGGAGGAGATCAACCACTTCACAGTTGAACATTCCCAAATATGAGAAATACTACTTAAAGATAATGGTTTTGCCCTGACAAATCTTTGGTAAACAAAAAACATAAGTAAACTAGAGGAAGGAGATTTACAATTATATGTAAAAGTTCCTGTCCGTAACCATTATAAACTGAAATGGGCACAAAGCTACTGCATTGTCTTTAAAAACAGGACAGAGTTTTATTTATGCGCAACAGATTTAAAGGCACTGTGGTGGCCTCAATCTCTCATGACAATTATGTTATATAAATTCTATGTCAATTCTATTACTAAAATGAAATCCAACTTATAAATGAAAATTGCCTAAAAAAGAGTAAGAAAACATGGAAAATAACACAAGCAAGTAAGAAACAAAAAAGGGAGAAAGGTGTAAAGGGTAAGAAAAAAATTTAATGTAAGTGCTTGATACTTTATGAATGAGATAAAGAATTATGTCACTCATATTCAAGTTAGAGATGATTAAGAATATAAGGAAGTGAGTTTTTTCATCAAAATGCTACTTTTTACTACAGAGTTACATACACTGTAGAAGTTTGAAGGAAAATATCAAAAAAAAGTCCCTATGGCAAATCGTCATGCTTCTCAGCTGCCTTGATTCAATCAATCAATGCAACTGAAGAGTTAGTAATAGCAAAGAAGATCCAGCAGTGAGGACTGCAATGCAAATTTTCAGCATCTGGCTCCAACTTATTTTGCTAACCTTATTTCATACTACTCATCTTAATATACTCTAAGTTTTGGGCATGGTATCTCTCTTTCTTGACTCATATTTATAATGGACTCCTCCTGCATCCCCATTCCCCACCTGTAAAAATCTGTCCTCTACTTTGAGGTCCAACTTTGGTGCTGCCATCTTCATAAAGTTGTCATCTGAAATTCATGTCTCCCTCCTTCACGTCTTCTCTTGCTCTGTCTGGAACTCACCTTTGACCTAGCCATACTATTTTGGATCACAGTTATTTGTATAAACATCTTATTCTACCTCACCCAAGATTACAAGGTCCTTAAGAGACAGCATTTGTATCTCATTTTATCTTTGCTACTGTTGGCACTTAGTACAACATCTTATACATGCCAGGCCCTTTAGAGGCTGCATAGAGTAGTGGGTAGCACTGTTGCTGAAGTGAGGAAGACCCAGGTGCCTCAGACACTTATTAGCTATGTGAATCAAGGCAAGTAACGTAATCTCTCTGGATCCTCCAGCTCTTCACCTATAAGATGACAGGTAACCTTGTTATGTGGTAATTGTATACAATTATAAATAACCCTAACTCTAATTTTGAGATTCAACTTGATAGTCTCCAAGGTCTCGTCACACCACGTATCTATGATCCTTATAACTGTCTGCTAAATTGAACTTTATTTAAAAAAAAAAGTGGTTTTCAGTTTTCTTCAATATATGCCCAGGAATCACAAGTTCCTGATAGTGAGCCACGTAGACTGGTAACTTTGAACCCAAGGACCTTAGCAGTTAACCCCTAACACTTTATTTTTAATAGATAATGAACTTGAAACCAGAAAGGCTAAAAGGGCACAACTGTACATACTAGATAGAAAGGAATCACTCCTAGAATCCAGGTCTCCTAACTCAAGAGTCTAGTGAGTGCTATACTCTATTCAGAGCCTTTTGTTGGTTTGTTTTAGGAAGGTTAGGGTGGGAACTCCCTAATGGGAGTTTGGTATTCACAAATGACTACACTTGAAAACTCATGCCCAAAGAACCTGGCAAAGAAAGAAAATGTGTACAAGACTAAGGGACATATGATAAAAATCTTCTTAAGATTTCTCAGAGTTTAGAAATTTAATGATGAAATTCATTCGATTATTCAAACAAAAATGAAGAAAATATACAGACAGTTCTTTAATATAATCATTCCAGTAACTTGGCTCCTGTAAGTTTGATGGGAACCTTTTAATTGTCTTTCAACTGATTTCACTTTTTTGAAGATAATAAAACTTTAGAAAGGAATCATCACAAGGAAAGACAAGACCAGCTTACAATTTCGTATTATTTTAAATGATGAAAAGTTTTAAATATTAATATTCTCCAAAGGTGTAAAAAGAAATTCTACAAAAGAAAAAAGATACTTGAGGATGAATACAGAACTCAAAAGAGAGGCCAATGGAAATATTCACTTATTCTATTAACTTTTCATTAGTAATCTGATAAACACAAACTGTAATTAAGAATTATCTTGCAAATAATTCCAAAACAATGTTTATTGAGCTAGCTATCCCACAAGCAGTCTGAATGAGCTGACTCTAGAAATTCAGTTCAAAGAAAGTAGTTAGGCTATCTTTCAGTAGTTAACAACTTCAGAAGCTTCATCATAGACAAATATTATACTGGATGTACAGGTAGGCAATACAATACAATAAGCGTGGGATTTGAAGTCAAATCACCTGGGTTCAAATTCAAGCTCTACCACTTCCAAAGCAGGGAGGGCACTCCTGGTCAAACCCCTTTACTTCACTGAGCTACAATGTCTTCACCTAAGGACTTTCAGAAGCCTTTTAGTCCAAATCACTCATTTTACAAACACAGAAATTTGAAGCCTAGAGAGGTCAAATGATATTTTCAAGGTCACACAGGTAACAGTGGCAGAGCCAGAACTGGAACACAGTTCCCTTAGCTCCAAACATACAGTGAGTGTTCTTTCCACTGTACC